TATATTGTAATTATATTTTATTATAACCTGTAAGTTGAATTAATATTATAAATTACGATAAAATAACTAAAATCATTATTTTTATTTTATTTGTTACAATGGTGATAAACAAAGTGTTAGAAATTGAAATCACATTTTTAGCGGTTTTTGAAATTTGTCGGTGACATTGTAATGTGTCATTAAATAAATATTGAGGAAATTGAAAAATTACCTCTCTAAAGTACTACCATCTTGATAAAATTTGCTAAAAGAAAAGATATACTATATGTTAAAAGAGCTGCTTCTGGTAGAAATTTTGTATGCAGGATAAAATAAAAATAAATATAAACAATATTGAAAAACCAATAGATCCCTCACTCCGCTCAGAATCTAATAATATTGATAGTAATATAGTTGATAATATCAAATAAATAATAATCAATTCAAGTCATATTTATTGTTCTTTTTATTTGAACTATAAAAGAATGTTATGAATCAGTTTAAATCAGGAATGGAAAATGTTTTTAATTTTTTCGTTTTTGTTTAACGTTTTTAAAAACGTTATTTTTCTATATTGTTTTTTTTTATAGTAGTAAATTTAGCAATTTAGAAATGCACTTAAGAGTTAAAAATTAAAATTAATTATTCTTGATTTCAAATAAAAATGTTTTAAAATTTTAATAGAGCATTGTTGGTAAAGATTAAAAAGTAAATACTTAAGTAACATTTTTTTTTCGTGTTATTAATATAATAATGTATAATACTCGATTTCGTAATTAATTTTTTTTCTGTTTTTGGGATTTTTTGTTATGGTTTTTTGTTTTTGTTTTATTCATTGTTTTCGTTTTTTTCCGTTTACTAACGTTTTTTAAAAACGTTTTCCATCCCTGGTTTAAATTATTTATTTTATTTTATCACTGTGGTGTTATCATTGTGTATCTTACCTTTACATTTTTTCTGACGCTGGGAATTTATGAAGTTGACGGAGTGATTGTTTACAAAAATACAGTACAAATCAATTGTAAAGCGAATTGCCTGTTACATGTTATAATTATCAGTGATAAATAATAATATTGTTTATGGAATCAGTAATCACGATAAAGGAAAATTGCAAAAAAAAAAAAAAAATAATAACTACCAAGTCAATATTGAAAACACAAACACATATCAAAAGTAGACAAAACGTGTATTACTAATATGTAAAAAAATAAAGAACCTTGGGGGGGATCTATCCCCCATATCCCCCCCCGTGAGAACGCCCATGCTCCGAGAACTTCCTACAAGTTAGAATAGGTATACAAATATTGATTTATAAAAATTAGTATTTACGGTGATTTGAGCAAACCCATCAAACACGGGATTAATTTTTTCGTGCTTTTTCACAGAAAATATAATAAAATACAAATAAACATAAATAATAATAAATTAATATAACCCTGTTAAGAGGACGAGATACACCCACAATGTCTCGCATGTGTTGTCTCCGTCTTACAAATGCATAACATAGCAATAACATAGAGTTTCCCAACCACGACTATACGCCAGTCCTAAAATCTCTTAGACTAGACACTTTTGCAAACCGTAGGAATGCAGCAAATCTCACCTTTTTGGTCAAATTATTATACACTTATCTTAAGTTCGGTTTCACGTACGTCTGTGATCAAATCTTGCGCGCTCGATTTGAGGCACTTTTTGAAGATGAAAAATTCTGAAAATTGGTATAGACCTTGGTTTTTGATGACAATACAATAATCCGTAAAAAAAAATTTTTTAACTAAAAAGTAGAAAATAAAAAATTAAAAAATTAATTTTTAAAAACACACTTTTCTAAAAAAACAAAAAAATAATGAAAAATTTAAAAGTGTGTGGCGCTCTTACACTTGACATATTATACCACACACTTTTAAATTTTTCATTATTTTTTTGTTTTTTTAGAAAAGTGTGTTTTTAAAAAAAAATTTTTGCAGGGGAAATTCGACTCACTGTACTTACTATCCTAACTCTCTTTTAATGTTCCAGTCCTAACCTCTTGCCAATCGCCATCCTGTTCCTTTTTCATTTGCCACCTTCAACTAACTATGATCAAACTGAACCACTACGTTAGTTAATCTAGAGCCTTCCTTCTCACTAGATAATTTTTAATTTTTCTATATATAATCTATTTATTGCACTACATAAATTGTATTATTGTAAATTGGGTGAAAGCCCATGTTGTATTATAAAATAAAATAACAAAGCAACGCTCAGCCGAACATGTGTAGCTCCATTAGTTTAAAAGTTAGAGCGAATTCACCTCTTATAAAATCTAAAGGTAAGATTATTATATAGACAACCTCATGAGTCATGGGCTTTTTATTATATTTTTATTTTAGCGCCAGTTATTAGTATTTTAAAATTGTAAATTGTTTTTACATCTAAAAATACTCATACTCGGCTTAAAATTAAAATATATTAAAAATCCCATGAGGTTATCTAGATAATAATCTTACCTTTAGATTTTATAAGAGGTCAATTCGCTCTAATTTTTAAATTGAATTTTCATGTTCTGTTGAGGATAAAATTTGTTATGTTACGCACTTGTAAGTCGGAGACAACATATGCGGGTATAACGTCCTTTTAAGTAAAAATAATATAAATAATTATATACATCGATTAGCATCCGTTTATAACGCGTCCGAAAGAGAACCCATTTTCCGTGTCGTTTATAATTTTGGATTTCGCTCGAGCGTTTGATAGACAGCCTCCCCGGAACGTTGTGCTTCGGTACTCTCGAATAGAGTTTAAATATTTTTACTCGATTTACATATTAAAATTAAGCTGTTCCGTGGAAACATTAGCACTTTAGTTACAGTAATTACCATATTTATCGTTTGAAGAAACGGTAGTAGTTAACTTAATTATACCCGTGAGATTAAATTGAGACGACAAGCTCGTGTGTGAAATAATCATTACCTAATCTAAATCCCAACGAATGTTTGCTAAATTGCATACTGCCGCTGCAGCGTACGAATAATGAATACAAATGTATGGTGCGAATTATTTTTGGCGACACACACACACACACACACACATAGGTATATAGTAAACTAAATTGTCAGAGACAGAGTTTGCATAATTTCATATAACATTTATTACAATAAATTAAAGGTTAGTTTAACGGTACACATTGTTTTCCTTATCTAAAATGTATAATATAATTTTTTATACACTTTTAGTAGGTAAATAAGTAGTATAATAATATATTATATAATATACATATACATATATATATATATATATATAACTATTTTTTAATTACTTTTTTTTTGTTGTTTTGTTATATCAGAAAAATTAACAATTTGAATAAAAATAATAATATTTAAAGTTTTTGAATAAATAATAATAATATAATATGAAACATAACACGTCAATCACTGTACAAAATATGGAAAATATTATTGCAAAACATAAACAAAAACCAACACATACATTGTAAAGTATACACCTATATATATAATATGACTCATAATATAGTTTGAATTACAACAATCAAAAGAGGCTAGAACAATATTAATTTATGTGGATCATAAATTATATCAATGTTTTAATAGAATTATATTATTATTATTATAGTTTATAATGTAAGGTAATAATATTACTGTACCGAACGCGAAGTTATATAAACTAGTTTTGTTCATATTTGATTTTTTGTAGCGTTATAATTAATTACATAGACAGCGCACCATTAGTAGTTATATTTATATATCAATATAATATTATGTAATCGTCGTAGACTAGAGTAAAAGAATTTTTAAAAATTAGTATACACGTGCTGTACATGAATTTCAACCGTAATAATTAGTATTATTATTTTTATAGCGTAATTTTATACAATACATCTTAAGAAAAAAAAACCAAAAACAATAACAACATTTAGAGCAAAATAGTTTAGTAGTAGTAATAATAATAATAATTATAACCTATGGTTTTATATTGTATTATAAGTTAATTTTTTTGAATTATATGTATATATTTGATTTTCGCGGACATTTTGAATGCCTGGAAAAAAATGTATACCAAAAACAATAAGCAAATTTCGAACTCTTACAGGTGACCGATAAGGTGTTCGGTCCGATGTACCAATCGTCATTCGTCTGTGGGGTTATCGACAATATTTTATTATTATAATGTACAATATATGACAACAATAATATTATAATATAATAGGTTTACATATCATAACGTCACATAATATAATATCATCATTGGTCGATTGGCTGTAAACACAATACGTATATATTAGGTATAATATTTATTATTCATTATATATATTATAATATATTATGATGGTGTAGTAGGTATAATAAAAAAAAAATAAACATTTTTTTTTTCTTACCATTATTTTTAAGCTAATCAGTAACTTTTTCAATCTTTTTTCTTACAATTTGACATCCAATAATAATAATAATAATAATAATCATAGTAATAATAATAATGATAGTTATAATAATATATTATAATATAGTAAATACACGTAAAAAACTGTACATGTTCGGAAAAGAACGCGTCGCCGACGGACACCTGCGCGATTCGAGTACCTATATTATAACAATAATAATAATAATATTATAGGACGCAGACTCGTCGCCGCCGCATTTCATTAACACGATATTAATAATCACAACGGATGTATTGTAATATAATCGATAATTATTAATATAATGAATATATTATCATAACGACAATTATTATTATAATAGCGAAAAAATCGCTACTTATATCGGTGGTACTGCGGAAAATGTATTTCGGTAACATAATATTATTATTACTATTACCTACCATGCGCGTTCCGTCGCAGACGCTAACCTTTCCTGCACGCACTCGGACGTGGTTTTCCCGTCGGCGACGGTGTGTAATATTTGGTTGTGGGGGGGGGGCAGGGGGTAGGGTATTTTTCTTTCTTCATAATATTATTTGGTATGTAAGTCGTGTTCGGCGTCGGCTGCTGTACCACAGGCTCGTCGCGATCGGGTCCCACCCGTTTAGACGATCATCGAGTACAGCGTCCGGACGGTCAGGTCGACGGCGAACGCGGTCGTCAGCAGGGCGGCCCTCGTCGAATGGCTGGAGCTGAGGCCCAACACGGCCGAGAGGGGCCCCAAGAGGCGGATGGGTATCTGAGTGCCGGAACTGTGTCCCCGCTGTATGGCGGCCGGATGTTCGCCTGCGAGGGCGGACATTGAAAAAAAAAAAAAAAACAGATTTTTGTTAAAAAAATTATAATATAATATCTATATAGGTAATAATAATTATGATATCGTGGTTTATATTATTGTTTTAGACGAGTGTGCGACACTCCCGGGTAGAGAACAAATTTCGGGTTCCGAGCTCGGGGTCGGCTCGTCGTCTCATTCCACCCCTCACCAGGCCTTAGCGCCGTTTTGAAAGAGCGTCTCGTCGTTTTCACGACTATCAGCACATACATATACATCGTGAAAGGTTTCCACGCTTCTGCAGCAAGTAAGACGAGTGTCAAAGACTAAAATATTTTTCGGATCAGATTATAGTACAATCTGCTCGATCGTATAATTATTATATTATATACATACTACCTACTTATATTTTAGATCGTATATAACTTGCGATTATCCTTGCTGTGTTTTAAAACAACGACTGAGATAAAATTTTAAACAGAACGTAGATTAATATCATATGCTTTACAAGTGATTTACAGTAATATGTTTTGAAACGTCTTAGAGGGACTACTGTACATTTTTCGATAGCCCCCCCCCCCCACAGCTGCTCTACTCTTTCCAGATCACCATGTCCAAGGTAGCACGATCACTCGAGGGACGTATCGAGCTTAAAAGATCCGTGTCGTTATTACTGTAGAACATCACAACAGTGGATCGAATTTCAGTGTCGTACAACTTGTAAACGGTGTTCCATGACCGATACACTATCATACACGAAAACGGAAAATGTCTCAACCTATGGCGACAACTTACAAGTAGGTGGTAAAATGTGGGTGCTCAGCAAATACTGCCGGAGTCCGGTAAGACCAGCAGATTTCAGGGCTTCGATATAATATTATATATACAGGGTGTAACAGAACTGACTTTTGGAATAACTTTTGTTCTAATCAATATAAAATTTTTTTTTTTTTACATAAAATGTAGGTACATTTACTTGCTCTACGAATAAATTAGACAACAAATTATTTTTATTTTTAATACTTAATTTTTGGATATATTCAAAATAGCCAATTTGTGAATCTGATTATAAGAACGATTTTGATAGTAAAAACATTTATCTAAGTCAAGTAGTTTTTTCTTAGAATTTCTTAAAATATCATTATATATTTTTTATATTAATATTTTTTTGGGAATTTGCTGACATGAGTAGTATTTCTTAAATTATTTACTAATCATATAATTTTAACAATTTTTGTCACGTTTAATTCGCATCATTTTTTTTTCCGTCAAGCCTTTCTGTTACACCTTGTATAAATACACAGAATAACAGCTGCTGTATATTATTTTCATACCGGCGGTGTATAATATTTTATTTCGATTCTGTATACTGAGTCATCCCCTCTCCACCCCGTGGTCAGCTCTGACGGGGAAAAGTTATATTTTTTTAGTCTTCCCCGCAGTTCGCCTTTGTCTGTACCTACTTACATAGATGTACGTTTCAACCGCTTTCACTTAAGAGGATTGTTTTAGATAATATTATGCTACCGTGATTCTGTTCGACGATAATAATTTCCCCTCTCCCCTCGTATTGTGTTCATAACGAATCTCGAAAAATCGAAAATATGACGGAATTCAGTATTTTATCGAGCATTCGCGCCGGTTAAGTTCATTGTGACGCTGTTCTCCGCTAATCTGTATTGGATGTTTTTCAGCACATTTCTCATTAGTCCGATCCAAATTAATTTAAGTTGTGTAGTATACTGCAGCTATATACACGCTTAACTTTATTAGTGTTTCAAAAAACCCAAACTCGTTACGAGGAATTATACAAAATAACGAATGGGTATTTGAAGATAAAAAATTTAAGTCGAGATTACAAGAACATTTTTTTGTTATTGGACTTATAAGAACAAAAACATAATTTTCAGTTCCAATTTATTTTGTATACTGACTTATCGAAAGTTTTTCATATAATTTTTACAGTTTATCACAAACACTAGCCATCAGGATCAATGAGGTAATGTTTGTACAAACATAGTTTCGAGTAATTTATTTTTGAAAATTAAATTACTAAAGTTTTTATTTTAAACGTAAATATAATTACATTGCTTTTTTAGAGAGAAACTTTAAATCACACGAAAAACCAAAAGAAATTCTACAGCCTTAATAGATTACCTACATATTTCAAAATATGTACATTTTTAATTACATAATAAAAATATTATAAACGCACCCAATTGCATAGAAAATAATGTTTCATTTCAAAGCTACTAATTTATAAAGAACCAACTTTTATGTTAAATTAGATACTAAACTTGAGTAATTTATGTAGATTTTAAAAATTTACATTTCGCCGTATGGTAAAAGTTTATTTTTAATTAAGCGTTGCAATTTTTTTCCAACTATAGATCAAGGAACTCGCCGATTATTATTTATTACTTAAATACTTTTAGGAATCACACCGATGCACCGGGGTATAATATTATTTTCAAGTTAACTTTTTGAAAGTTCTATATACTGCAGGAGCAGTCTCGAATAAAATCATATGAATATTAATGAGCTCTCGGAAGTACTTTTAGGAGATATAATTTCCTATGTTCGCGTTTTTATAGTAGCCTAGTATAGTGGAATAAGATTAATCGTTTATTGTGTTTACATTTTCGAATATCCGATGAGTTTGCAATTTTATAGTAGGTATTAAAATTAAATTTTCTATCGCAAGGCAGTTTGTTGAAGTTGAAAATTCGGACGGAAAATCGATAAAGTAATCTTAAGAAGTGATTTTTTTTTTTTCATAAAACTGATATCCTGCAGATGCCTGGATGCTATTTATATACTTAAGGCTAAAGTACCATTGTCTAGCGTAACTTGTAATATTAATACGTTTTAAACGGATGTACGCTAATTTTCCACTCCTATCATATAATACGAACAATTTAGTATTTACCTCGCCGAGGTGTTTAAACGTAACAAAAGTATTAAAAAACGAATCGAATTGAACCAAATCCACAATGTTCGATGACGCGTCGGTCTTGTGCGGTAACAATTATTATAGACTATAATAGGTGGTAATAAGTCGACGGTAACAATCGTAAGGCGAGTGATCAAGTTCAGGAGAGGACAGTATATTTTACGAATAATTGGAATACCGTACAGGTTTTGAACTATCCGAGTGAATTTCGACTGTGCGCTTATTATGATAATAATAATAATATAATATAAAATATTATATTCTATACGTACGCGTGTGCACACAACCACCTACGAGCTCGCTCACATCTCATTCGTCTCTCGCCGAGACTTAATATGGAAATGTATTCACTGCGACCGTTTTTATATAATCCTACCCGACGGCAAATTTAATTAACACATCGTGCCGTATAATATCACTCGGTGTCTCGCTAATTTTTGAGCTCACCCGAAACCTTATACGTAGGTAGGTAGGTAGAGGTATATTATACTATGATAAAGCCGCATCCTGCTCCTCACTAAAACACTAAATCGCACCGACAATTATTTCGATATGATAATATTGTGTCTTGCTCCTACGACGGTGTGTGGCTCAGAAGTTTGCCTCCAACTGCAACACACACACACACACACACACACACACACACACACACACACACACACACACACACACACACACACAGACTATAGGTACGTGCTTTTTGCAGCAGTCGTCGGTTTCCCCCGTCAATTTATCGTTTTGGCTCGGATCTCGAGGGCAACCCGAAACGTTATTGCTGCTTATAATACGAATATACACAGTGCTTGAGGGGGGAGGTTAAATCTCCTTATTTGTGTTTCCGGTACTACCCCCTCGATTCGTTTACGATCCCCGTTGTAATTTCCTGGGCACGCCACTGGTTGTTGTAGTAAATAATTACTATGCAGTCACTCACGGAAAGACATGTCCTAATGTAATAATGGTATGTACAAAAATCCGAAAACTCATCGTCAGAGCAATTTTTTCAGGCTCTCCGATAAATATTTTAATAAAAAACCGCTTCGACGACAACAATTACTCGTCGGCGTATCCAGGTTTTACCAATATTCATCTCCGAAACGATTCTTATATTTTCAAATCGACAATTTTATTGTTTGATAATTATTCCTCAATACCGGACAAGATTTGACGTCATAATATTCAGTGTTATACCTAATATCTTTTGTTCAGTGTTTTTTTAGTCATTTTTTGTCGCTGCAGTCGCGTTTTATTTCATTCTTACTGATTTCCGATGCTTACAAACATTATATCATGAACGATTAATGGTTGTTTATTATATACTTGAAAACCCAATGATTAATGGAGGCATTATTATTCATTTTTAAGTGTTCTTTATGTTTCAGTAAGCATATAAAAAAAATATTGTTTTAGATGGCAAACACCGCACTTAATAAATTACTTAACGGAATAAACCATTCTTGTTTTTTTTTTAAACGTTCAATGACAATAAATAAACATTATAATTTGACAATTTGCGACATTCACAATTTGTACGTATTAAACGTGTTTAAGAAAAATACAACAATGCGAAAGCTACATTTAAAACAGGGTTGGTCACAATCACGAATATGAAGATAATATTTAATTTATTCAAATAAATCGTTGTATAAGACTGGGTTGAATTTGATAGTTATCGGTTATTATGTAAGCAATTATTGTTATAAACGCCATTGTCGTACGAATAATTAGTAATTACTGTTTTCAGCTCGATTTCCGAAATCATATTATAACTATTGATTAAAACAAAAATTGCTTAGACTATTATTCGAATGGTGTGTACAATCTGGTGAGTGGAATCGAGTTTCACCTAATAATATCCGAATCGTTTTCATTAAGACGTTATATTGGGAGATATTAGAAGGTGGCATATTAATAACGAGTAATTTGAAGCATATTGTGTTTATACTCGGATCGTTTATATACATTTTATCGTACATGTAGGGGTAGGTAGTACTCTTATAAATTATTTATATATCTCTTTAACAATGTGATGATAATATTATTACTTTAAATGGGATAACGCACAAATAAAAGAATAATATAGTCTTGCAGAGTATGCACTAATATTCTAAATGTACCTATAGATTGTTTTAAACAATAATTTGTATGTTTTCTATTATTGAAATTTACAACACGGCACCAAGATAAATTAATGTAATTTTAGTAATTAATATGAAAAAATCAATATCGTGTACTTCAGTAAAATTTACATTTTCTCTCGATTTTGTTAAAACATATTTGTGAATTTTCTGTAATATAATATAACTACAAAAATATCGATATATAGATTTTTTTTTATATAATTCAAGTTGTTATATCTATTTTAATTTCATGGTTTCGAGATTTGTAATATTTTAAATCACGCGATTACCTTTTGAAAGACACCTAGACACTGATGTACCGATATTGCCTATACATCGCGCCGCAAAATGGTAGTTAAGCATAAAATATTATCATCAAGAATAATAAGATACATCTTTTTTAAACTGAAATCCGTATACGTTTGTTTAGGGTATTTTGGATATTTGAGTGCAATTTGAATACGGTTACAAATCACTCGTAACGAGTTTAGTGTAAGACCCAGCCACATTAGAAATTAAAGAATCCCAATAAACTATAATATTATATTATTTTAACAGATATTTTTCTCGCTTTTCCTAAAGTTTATTATTTAAAAGAAATAATAACTCAAATAGTTTTCGGGCTGGAGAAAAAATATTAAACAAGATTTGTGTGCGGAGTTTGACACTTTAAGTGCTTTCGTTGTTTGTTAAATTTTTTTATAGCATTCGTATAGTTTTGAGTAAGTTACAATGATGTTATTTATTTGTTCATAATTTATGAGTAATTAAACGCCAGCGGTGTAATCTAAAACTCGAACCCAGGGAAACCTAACATCTGTACCTTATAACTTATGATTTATTTCGTCTGAATTATTTCCATTCGATTTCGCGGGGAACGAAAAACGCATTTGTTAAGTCAAACACTTCAAATACAGCAGAGGGATCATTATATATTGTATATATATATATTTAGGCAGTATGACTGTATGAGTCTCACTTATAGTCGAATCGTTCGTGAATATTATAATTGCCATTGCGGTGAAGGGATTTCTAGAGAACAACAGACTGCTTAGATTTGAATGAAATCTAATCCGAATAGGTCGGGCCGCCTGCTCGTGGCAGTTAATGTTAAAATTGGTTAATTTTTTTGTTTTCTGCGAAGAGACCGTACGCACCATCTATAATAATATAAACTACAGCGAACGTCGATAATATAATAATATAATCTAAAAATCATATTATTAAGTTTTGTAATAATTAATTGTGGGGGGAGGGTTGGTGTGGCGCGGTGGTCGGCCGCAGTGTCACTGATGCGTGCTGCGGTCAAGCATCGGCTAGCTCCCGGATGGGTGACCACCCGGGTTTCTAGTGACGGATCGTCTCCCCACGTACACGTTATTTACGTGTTTCCAAAACCCTCCTATAAAACGCTAAACGGCCTCAGGGTTACCGACCAAATCCAACGTAAATTCAGATAACCTTGCATTGAGTTCAGAAATACTTTTGGCCCATCGGAGTTGAGTCCGACCAATATTGTTAGGTTTTTCGAGTTGAGTCCCTTCAGCATTTTAGCTTTACCCAGGACTAGTGACGTATATATATTTTTTACAAACAACTATTTTATTTTTATATATTAGCAACTAGGGCTGGCGGTATTCAAAATTTTGATACCGGTATCCGGTATTTGTTTACTACCGGTATTTACGGTATTACCGGTTATACGGTATTTTCGGTAATTACCGAAAATACCGTACCACGGTAATTACCGAAAATACCGTACCACGGTAATTACCGAAAATAACGAGGTGAGGTAATTACCGAAAATACAGTACACGGAATACATACCGCATCTCGGTAAATTTATAAGTGTTTCTAAGTTTCCAACCTAAGAAAATTTACCTTTAACACCTAAAAATCATGTGTAATTATTTATTATTGTTTAAGACTTTAAGACTCCCAATATTTTGTGATATGGTGAAAATTGGAGGGGTAGTTTCTAGAAAAATACGATATTGACCATTTAATAATAATCAAAACAATATTACCACATCGTCAAATGGGAATTCTAAAAATAGCAGTTTTTTTTCCCGAGCATCGAGATAAAGAATTTATACACGTCTAATTCTGTGTACTGGACTGGTAACAAACGGGTGGGCTGGTAGCGGGGGTAATGCAGGAAAGTGGAGCAAGCCCAAATGCTAGCGCTATGTATTTTCATCGTATTTCCCCCTAGCACAGGCCTACTTAAACCCTTAAACTGCCCGGTGAAATACCGCAACCTAGTCTTGCGAAGCCAGTATAGGCGTGTCCAATCCATTCTTATAATCTTAGTATAATGTTAGATAACAGATAACGAAAATTACAATATTATATTATGTCATTATGAATATATATGCTAGTATTTTAGGTAATTACCGGGGTAGGGTATTTTCGGTAATGACGGTAATTACCGAATCACGGTATACCGGTATTCTGAAATACCGAAAATACCGGATACCGGTATTTCTTAAATACCGGTATTTATCGGTATACCGAAAATACCGCCAGCCCTATTAGCAACACTATTATTGTGATATCTCTAATCACGGACTCCTAATCGTATATGAGCGGGAAAATGTTAAATGTGTGTGATATTTACTGATACCATTTAAAAATTAGATCAAATTAGGGAATAAAATATTTGTCTAAATTTAAAGGATAATTTAAATTTTTTTAAAGCTAATTAACAACAAATTGAAGTTTAATAAGTTAAATTTAAATTAAATTTTTAAAAAAACATGCATTTTAGAAATTTCTTCAGAATCAAATTTCTGAAATTTAATATCTCTACCCAGGACACACCACGAGAAGGTTGGCTGAGTAATCCCCAAAAAAATTTGTGTGATTGTTTACACTATTTTTTTTTGTCAATTGTAATAATAAGTATAAAGAGTCAATTGATTAAAAAATATTAAAAATAATAATAATTATGTGTAATTTAATGTGCAAGGTTAAAGGTCACCATGGCATTATATCTATACTGACTTAATTCAAAGATATTAAGATAATAAGCTGGACTCAACTCAAACACATAAAAGTAGCATGGACTCAATTCAATATCAGCGGTAAATTCAATAAATAAAAAATACAAAAAGTAACAATCAAAGATCGTATGGTATCGTATCATGGTATTATGCAGATATCGCGTACCGTTCAAGACGTGCAGATACGCGCTGGCCGAGTCCAAGTTGGACGGCTGACACGTGTAGTTGCCCGAGTCGTGGAGCACCGCGTTGTTGATGGTCAACGTGGCCACCATCGTGTTGGCGTCCAACCTTTCGCTGCTGATCACCTTGGCGCCCTTGCCGTAGTCCAGCACCCTCTTGTTGTTCTGGTACCAGAATATGTAGTCCGGGTCCCGGACGCTCTGCCGGATCACGCACTTCAGGCTCACCGAGCTGCCCTCCATCACGTGGATGTCCGACTCGCCCATGATCTCGATCTTTGGCACTGAAACGGGTAGGTGTGAGTAGATATAGACATCAAATCGAAATTTTTATTTCAACGGTTATTTAAACCCGTAATAATATCATTATAATACTGTGAGGGTTGTCGGCTTTTCGATACTCACTTGACATTATAATAATACCATAAGCGTCAATCGTTCAATAAAAATCTTAAATTTTTTAAAAATGTTTTTCCACACGTAATGTATGACCTACTATACTGAGTTTGTATTAGTTCGATTTACACGAGAATTTTAATATTGTTGCTGTAAATACGCAGTGTACTATAGGGTAGGAATGGGCAACTCAATGCTACTAGGTAGAGGGCCAATTTTAATGTCCGAAAAAAAAACCTAATGTTAACTATACCCTTATATAAATAATATAATATTATTTACATTAAAGTAGTTCAATACTAGATAAGAATTTATATCTACGTTTAACGATAAACATTTTAATAATTGTATAAATAGAAAAAAATAAAATACAGAAAAATCTTAACATTTTATATTTTTATAAACTAAATTGAAATGTAGCACGGGTCAGTGAAAAATAGTACTCGGGACGCTAGTTACCCATCCCCCTGCTCACGGGGAATATTATAGTGTTACACCAGGCAATGTGTTAAGGTAACAATAATTATTTTTATTATAAGCAGTTCGTAACACCAAAATAACGTGCTCGCGTTTTTAGTAAATAAATTGAAAAAATAAAAAAATGTTGTATCGATCAAGTTTTTTCTACAGTTATTCTTTAAGGGAAACATTTTTTTTATTTCAATATACCATCTATCTTGTACAGAAATTATAAATTATTAAATTTCATTGGAATTATCTATTTATACAAAATAATTATTGCGTTCCAAGTAAAATCATTAAAGATGGCTGGTTGGGGCCAACTGCAGTTACGAGGAAAACTGTCATAATGTTAGATACTAACTAAAACTTGATTATATTTTTTTATCAATTTTTTAATACATGACATATAAATCTAATTTACCTGTGTTTATTCAAAGGTATATTTAAAGTAATTTAGTTATAGAGGACTAAGGATAGGTATATAAAATTGTGTAAACATCTTACATTTTAGCTATATATATTTCATCTTAAATAATATGGATTGCCCCGTCTTGGCCTAGAGTCTAGAGTCTGGACAGATAGTACATATATTTAATATTTCACACCGTCGGTATTGACACATCCATATTATTTCTAAAGGCATTTTAACTGATATTTGTGTAACTTTAAAACGAAATAATACGAAAATATTTTACAGTCTTAAATTATTTAATCTAAATATTAATGTAATTTTCTTTTCGACAAATGTGACGGGATCAAATTTTGCTTTTGAATATAATATTATTATATAACTCCGATTTAGAAAACGAGTGTATAAGCTCGTATTTAGTCGTAATTAACGGTATAACAAATACACTTTATTATACGACGTATGATTTTGCCTTTTAATTAAATTCCATCAGATTATATTATTATTATTATTATTATGTAAATTGTATAACGATTATGCCGTTGAAATGTTATTAAAATTAACAATATCTGATATTTCGCGTGCACCCATATTATTATTTTATCGGTCCTTATTTTCGCAACAGTCACAAATTACGACGTTCGAACATTTATAAACGTCACACGCATAATATGATATAAAGTCAAAATATTGTTTTTTTTTTATAGGTTTATAGTTTTACTCGATATAGGCGTTGTTGTGGTACTTACCTACGACATTGAGCTGAACCAAATGGCTCATTTTTGGCGATGTATTTATTTGACATTCGTAAATGCCGGCGTCCCTGGGCTGCACATATTTTATCTGCAACGTCCACGTGCACGTGGGCTCGACCAGAAATATTCGGAACCTATCGTCGGCGATGAACAACAGCCAATCGATGGTGAGTATGTGCGAGTCCCGCCGCCGTATCCATGAAACCTGCAACACAACGTAAGCGGGATATTATTTTATATTAAATCAACTCGATAAAATAATAAACTATAATAATATTATTATAAAATATATAACAAAGTGAAATTATTGCGATTTCCCATATAATATAATCCAGGTTTATGTTTTTAATTAATAAAATAACCGAGAGATCGAAATAAACTTGGCATGCTCGCGAGAGGGAGGGTTGTCCGGGGGGGGGGTAACGAAATGTGAAATTAAAACTTGGGTATAGGTAAAGATAAAAAGTTCCGCTGGCTGGGTGCCACTGTAGTATGAAACAGAAATGTGTAGGAAAAAAATAATTTATTAATATGACAAAAAAAAAAACCTAAATATGCTTTTAAATTAATTTGAGGGTACTTTAGCGAATCGTTAGTATTGCATTTAGTTATGATAATTTCACGGTTTTATTTATTCTATATAATATTAAATGAATACAATGGGAGATTATATTATATGGATTATATTATATTTTTATTCACAATTAATATCATAATATTTAAATCGTGGAATGAAAACGATTATGCCCGGTTCTCGGTTGTGCAATTTATAAGTGTAATGTAATTATTTTACTTTTCTAGAGAGTAAGTTTATTTATTAATAAAAAAATGAGTCTTAACGTTTTTTAACGAGTATGAGTAGTCAATTTTTTTTCCGCGTAATTATAGCCACCTGTCGTCGATACTTTTTCTACGAACCTATAGCATAACGTTTATCATTTAATCATTCGAAAATGGGTTCGGTTTTAATTATAAACCATTATAATATTATTATTATGTTATTGCGCACTATACCAATATTCAGCAACCTGTACCTACGTATACCGATTAGCCATTATTCGGTCCATTATGGTGGCTCTTAACGGCCATTGTGTGCCAACTGCATAAGTGGAGTGGTAATTTGATATTCCACGAGAAGATTTATGACTTAATGCAGTTTAAGTACAATTGGCCACATTTGGCGAATTATTATTCGACGTGTGCAATTACATTATAATATAATTCCATTACCGTCGAGACGTCATTTCCATTCTATATTAGAATCGGACACGACCATTTTATCCGCAACGGTATTAATATTGTAATGTTCGTACCGAAACGGCTGTTTAACATGTTCAACCGATGTTAAAAACAAAAGACCTATCATAATATAGTAGTATTGTGTTTGGTCGCCGATGGGTTTGCTAAACGAAACGCAAGACAGTAATTGTAAATTGAAAAATACAATGGTACCTAGGTAAAACGGACAATGGACAGGGACAATGGACGCGTTCGGATCTCGCGTGAAAACGTTCAGACGTTTTAATTATTTTAATATTATTATTATAAAACTTTAGAGACGTCGTACCGTAAAATGTTTTCGAAAAAATAACAACGCCTTTTTATGGTTTATACACACGTCATCCGATAGGCTAGGACCTGTAGTGGTACATTGGTATTCGTTTTGGGTGCATAAAGTGAATTGTGCGATTTTTTTTTTATGGGATAAAAAACGAATTGGAATTCGGTAAAAACTCAAATATTCGTTATTCAGTCTGAAAATTTGCTACGTGAATTTATTTAAAAAAAACTTAATCTCGTTCTTCTTCAAAACGAGCGTGTACCGCTGCACTACTATATATATACATGTAGCTGCGTATGACATTATGTCACGTACATTTTATTCCGACGCGTTTGGGTATTTTTAGGAAATTTTCCACGATATGTTTTTCTCGAGGGGAGAGGGCGGCGGCGACGGCGGCTTATGGTAGTAACTGTGAGTTAATGGATTTTCGGCGAGTGGGTCGCGATCGGGTAGCTGTGGTGGGGAAAGAAATAACAATAAAGTATAAAGGTGGGTTATTTTTTTACCCCGTGCTTTTCGCGGCAATAACACGAGTTTAAATGGGGCGCGTTACTGTTCAGCAAACTTAACGGTCCCCCCGGATTCATTTTTACAATGTCCCCGTCACCGTCACAGCCCTCCCGCCACGCCGATCGCCAGTCGCCGCCTGCACCCCGCCGGCTAGACCTCTAGAACCCTCCGCCGACGAACTCGTAGAGAGAGATAGATAGAGGGAGAGATAGAGATAAAGATAGAGAGAGAGACACCACACACACACACACAATAATATACTATACTTGTAGGAGCACATATTTTTAAACCGTCAATTCGCTCACATCGCTGGCCGGTCATTTGTGCTGCGCCGGCCGAGGAGGAAAAGGTAATTTTATTTAGTGCCCCGTGGCCAAGGGGAACGTTGATTAAATAACTATCGTGTAAAAACCACCCCTGCGCTGGCGAAGAGGATTAACAATATTGCGCTACAGACAAAATATATAGGTTATACAATATATATATATGTACATTATTTATAACGCGCCATGAACGGAGAGGAGTGAAGGGAAATCTTGGGGGGAAGGAAACTTTTCACTCGTCTTTGTCGCCCAGTTATTTATTTTATTATTTTATCCTCTTCACTCCCCCTGGTCGTATCTCCGTCGTAGTGCAATCTCGTGTTCGTGCGGTGGACGCGTGGCAAAGCCCCGGCGTGAGTTTTTACGATTCCACCCGAAGCCACGGCGGCAGACCGGTCGTAAATAGAAAATTGCCTCGTCTTCTGTGAATTTTCGTCGCGCCATCGACGTCGCAATAAAAGCGTATTACGTTCGCACAATCGCGCGTACAATCACCGTAGATCGTCACCATGGTCCATGGTCGTGTACGTATAAACCATTAGCGGTTCTGGTATAACATTTTCGAGGAGACGAGAATTTCGTACCGTTCTAAAAGTCCTTTATGCATATCATGTGTACGACGAATACCTCTGCAGAAACTCCTCCGTCATGTCGTATATATAAGTTATAATATATAATTATCATGACGTATTGTCTTAAAAATTTTTTCTTTCAAAATCTGGCAGAGGTAGCATGGTTGGAGTTAACATCAAAAACCAAAGTAAAATACTTATCACATAGAAAACAGTTAGGAATTGACGAAATTAGAAATCAGAATATAGGTAATGATAATGATGTTAATATTTTATTATACGATTGCAATTGCTGATTAATAATTTAGTGACAAACTGACAACTTGCTACGATATTATGTCTGTTGGTAATTTATTGTCGGCTCGTTTTGACTACTTGCTGAACGTCTAAACTCAATTTGCTCCCAAAGGTCAGAACGGTCATCCCAACTCTGAGCTACGGCAAGCCGCAGAGGCGATAGTCATGTGCAATCTCTCAAAGAGAGTCACTCATCCGCTATTCGTATTATTCTATACGCTTTTGTGTGTACAACTTGTGAACAAATTTACCAACCGTGAGACCGTGGTGGTGGTTGCCTCCAAGGCGGAAGCCGCCTATACTGGACGATACATTTGGAAAATACACATTTACAAAAAACAAACGCAAGGTACACCTCATTCCATTCGTTAATTTATTTTGGTAATTATAAAAATATTAAAAATACGATTCGACTATACTGTATTGTTAAAATCATTGAAACCTCGTATTTATTCGAAAGGCTCACGTTCAAAAAAAATATTAATATTACAATTAAAGATCATTCAATATAATATAATATATATATATAGGTTTAATAGGAGGAGACATTCGTCGTGAAATTTTTACATCAAAGAAATCGTATCAAAAAATCTGCCGGTCGTCGTTAAAAACTCTACAAGACATAAAATTAATCGAATTGGTGCCAAAAATTGACCGATGTAAATTTTAATTTACTAAAACATTGTGATTTTATAGAATGTCATTAAAACGTTGCTCAAAAGAAGAATACTTCATAAAATATTTGTAATTTTTACGATATCTTATCGTATTTTATGCTCAGTAGTTATTTCAACGACAATATAAAAATACAAGAATAAAATTGAATTTCTAATGACGCATAGTGCACTGCAGCCTGCAGACTTTGGTTTCATGTATAGTCATCGAATAAAAATGTACGGTCATAAATTTATAACGCTGCGATTAAAAATTACATTCACAAATAAATTGATCATTTGATCGATATAGGTATATAATATCGTATCAAGTGTTAACACCCAAAACTACAATTAATTTTTATAGAATATTATAATAAAATCAATGTGAAATCAAAAAATAATATGGCTAACAATTATTAAAAACCAATGCTCGATAAAAGTCGTTGGGAAACGAATTAAAAAATTCACGACGTAATGATTCGCTACGGTCAGTAGTTGACATATAATCAATGTTTAAAACTATCATAAGATAGACTCATGTTTACTCGTGTCTTCTAAAGTAATGGTTTATTCTAAACACATGACACTGAATAAAAAAATTCTTTGGGATTAGAAAGTCGCGTTGCGCGAAATAGTGCGAAAAGTCTTCCACAAACTTGAGTCGCTCAGCGGTATAAATTTTTTCTCTACAATTTTCTATAGAACATATACCGGGGGCGTTGTTTAATATAAAAACCGACAAATCGTTCTGTAAATATATAATCTTATTAGGTCGTCCCTCTCTCTCTCTCTATCTATACATTTAATATATATATATTATATATATACACCTACGTCGTATATACTTGAATATCGTATCCGCATCCAGCGCTGTAAAAACGTTCCGTCGGGTAACGTTATATAGTCTATTATTGGTACCTATATTATATATATATATATACAGTTTATCTGTATTATACGCCGCAGCTAATCGAATTCCCTTCACGTTCGATTCGGAATAACGGCCAAAGCGCGGGCAACGCACATTGTTTCGAGCGTTTTAATTTACTGCGCGGGGCCCGCCCGTCGTTTCGCGTCCACTGCACTCGTGAAATTTGCGGTCGTTATATCCGGAAAAGTATATAACACGCATTCCGGGTTGTCGTTTATCCCGAAACGAGTTTTTTGGACGTCCCGCTCGGCATTTCGAGGGGGCCGTCGATCTCGAGCTTCCGAGCTGACTGCGAAATCCCTACACGTCCGTATTGTTGTTTTCAACGTCACTATAATATCATAACAATGTTACGCAGTTGTTGCTCATATAATGATATATTATTATTGTTATTATCGAGTTCATATTTATCTCGAAGTCGCCGTATGATCGATTTAGCTCAGCACATCCGTCTGTAATACGCCTCACTCTTATGACAGTCGGGGCAATGTGTATTATATTTTTACCTATACCTACGATGCGTCCTTCCCTCGTGAGAAAAGCTCCCATTATTACGAACTTTTCGTTCGGTAAAATTATGACATAACGTTTTCAGTATTTTTCTAATTTTCGAGCTATGTATTACGGCGGCGTATAATGGCAGGATAATATTGTAGAATGCAAAGGAATCTCTCCGATTGGGAGATTTTGGATAATATAGTCACTGATTTGTCCGTACATCTGTTATTTTTAAAATCAGTATAATGTGTTGTGTATATTATTTTAAGCTCATATCACGAACCAGCGTGATGGATAGATTTCCTACATTCATCTGTAATACCTCACTCTTATATAGTATTATTCCACTTGGTGTTATGTGTATTAAAATTTATATTAGGTAGTAGCAATACCTATGATGCGTCCTTCCCGGGGGAGAAATTGTTCCATTTACGACCTTTTTGTGATTATGAAAAAATATTTTGAGGCTGTTTTGAGATCAGTCGATACAGATCTAAGGGCTATGTATTATGACGTATAATAATATGCTGAAAGCTCGTACACGAGCATGTTTCTTGTAAGTATACTGCGATGACTAATGACTGTATTTGATTTTTTCATTATCTTTTAAAAATAACTCTTACAGATATTATATAATGCAATGAACAGCTCTGATCGAGCGATTTTTTTATGATGATTTAGTCATTAATTTTTCAGTATATATGTGTAGGACAGCAGAGGAGTACGAATGGTTCAGTTTTCAGTATCCGCTCTCTCTCTGTCTCAGCGATGACGAACATCCACCGCGGGCAGAATGCACCTATAAAACTGCAGAATGTTCTCATCATTATTATCTTGCAAAACCTATACCCGGCTGGATATGGCGTTATACTAGGAAGGTCTGTAGCAGTTACGCACGAAACGTTAATTAATTTCAAATTTTATGATCAAATAATACAGTTTTATTATTGTAAAATACAATTGAATGTTTTTGTAATTAACAATTCGACATTATTCTAATGTGGGGATCGAAACCAACATTCTCGTTTCCATTTTAATACGAACGAAATAAAAAGTTGTTTAAAAAAAAACCATTATTACGAATTCAATGTGGATATTATAATATTGTTATCATAATATATTAATCGATCGATGTCTGGAAAATGGTTCAAAAAGGAAATGACGCGGGTTCGTTTGTTTTTTGTTATATTATCAACACGAAAGCAAACGGATCGGTTTGATTTTAATAATAATAATAATTATAAATCGTATGGACACTCACCGATTTGTTGCCGAGCTGCTTGACCCTGCACGGCATGTAAGCGTGGCCGCCTAGTTGTGTGGTGATGTTGGACGACACGGACGTGTCGAAAAACGGCCTGACCAAGAAATCGGACACCTGTTTCTTCTGCTGTTGAGGGTTGTATTTTTCTGGAAAAATAAGAGAGAAAAAATAATTATTACGATTATCTTCTCTGGCCCGAATTCGGTTCGAGCGGTGCAGTGCCACCCGATTGAAAAGCCCCTTGGGCCGCGTTCAGCAGATACAAAAATAAATTAACACGGATTAAAAACACATGGATTTGGCCACCATATCACTATTCGTCAAAAACGTATACGTTTTTACCAAGGTGCATCAACACACCTTGGTTTTTATCCGTCTTCGTATGGGCAGTGTGGCTAGACTCATTTATTCGTACCTGTAAATACGACACGTATGACAGACAAAACGCGTTTAAGCAGTATAAGTAGAACTCACTCGATTTCGGTTCCAGAGGAAAAGTATCTATTATACAATTGAATCGCGACAATATTTCTGGGAGCAAAACTGTGCGTTTTTTAAATTATTCTCAGTATGACGTTCATTATATATTATTTAAAAATAGCGAAGACCTAAACAATTTGAAACAACCTTAAACTTTTCAAAATAAAAATTTTTTTTTAAGACGCACCGTCTTGCCCTCCAAAATATTGTCATATTTTAATTTTGAAATAGGTGTTTTTATTCTAACACAAAAATCGAGCGAGTTATACTCAGACTGCGTAAACGCATTTTGTTCATATATGGGTCCATAGTTCATAAACTTGTGCATTCAACTATAATGATTCAGATTCATCAGTAGGCTTAAAATCAAACTATCTCTGAGGTTCCCGATAAATAAATAAAAAAAAAAATTTCACACATGGCCCCGATATTTACCAAGCCGACCCTGGGCCTGCTCTTTACGTCATCGACTTCGTACGACAGTCCGTCCGGTCGAGGGGTTTTCTCCTTTCTGTCACCCGCCCCTCACGATAGGTATATACTAATTGGGGTCGAGCGCTTAATGACCTGCTCGGAGTTGCAGGGTTTTATCGTTAAAAGTTTCGCCCTCTCCCCCCCCCCTGCAGCATCGACGCAAACGTTCGTCGTGAATACCTTTGACCCCGGCCATGTGCTAGGCACCCATATTATAATAAAATACGTAGGTATACAGCCTGGGCCGATTCACCGGTTTTTTCCCATTTGGTTACACTCACATAACGCTTGCACGATATTATTACACAGACCCTAGACGACACACACACCCTGTATAATGTAGTGCACGTGACGTCGTGGATTAGGAGTAAAAAAACTCATGTGGGGCTCGAAAATTACTGCGTTCGAAAGAGAGTGCATACAAACGAAAGTGGAGGTTTTTTTTTATTATTTTGCATTCTCGAATGCATTCAATTCATAAATAATGAACGATGAGACAGAGGACGCGCGTCGTATTCGTTTTATTCGCAAACGTGAATATAAAAACCGAATTCATTTTTAAACTCAAAATATTATACCATACAATTTGTATTGTTCTATATATTATTCTACGTTTTATATGGCAGCATTAGGTAAAAAAAATTTTAAATATTTTTGGGCAGGAACAAAAATATATATTATGTAATACATGTATTCCATAGTTTTGCCCCTCTTCTAAGGCTTTGGCGCTATAGACAGGCCGATTTATTTCAGGTGACTTCGTCTGTACATATACGATTATTGAAACGTCCCCCGACCTGTTTTAAATAAAAAAAGTTACAACGTGAATAAAAACTGACGCTACATTATGAATCGAATTATTCACATTGTAATATTATATCTACTTACTATGATGTTATTTTTTTTAGATTCTGAGCGGAGCGTGGAAGCTAGTGATTTTACAATGGTGTTTATTTTTATTATTTTTTTTTTATCCTGTATACAAAGTTTCTACCAGAAGGAGTGCTTCGATTTTAAAATAATATAGTATCTTATCTTTTAGAAAATTGGATCAAGATGGTACTTTAGAGAGGTAATTTTTCGATTTTTTCAGTAGTTATTTAATGATGAGAAAAACAACCGACAAATTACAAAAAACCTCTAAAAATGGGATTTTAATTTCCAACGCTTTGTTTATCACCATAGCAACGAATAAAAATAAAAATAACGATTTTATTTATTTTTTTGTAATTTATAATATTAAATCAACATACAGGCTATAATAAAATATAATAACAATATATTCAGACCGACGAACCGTCTCCGCTCAGAATCGTTTTTCGTTTACAATGATATCATATTATTCAATTCAAATTTAATACAATCCATTATACAGTGACCCACTTGTAACCTACTGTACAGCAGAGGGAAATCCACTTATCCGCTTTTATAATATTTTTTTTTCTATAAACTATTTCATGGTTTAGAACAAAAAACCGTGTATTTCGTTTGTTTATTATTTATAACACGGTTTGAGTAAAAACGAACACGAACGGCGACGTATAGTTTTTAAAAATAAATTCTTAATGCACTTCGCATTCAATTTGAATGTAAATGGGGGTGTATGCAAATGCGAGAGTGCATTCAATTTTAAATTTATTATGCTCCAAACGCTGGTTAAAACTGAATAATCGTGATAGTCATCGCGTTCGTTCGTGACACCGATGTTTCGACATTGTTTAAGCGTTTTTGTTGTGCGGTGAAGTGCGCTGGCAAACTGTGTTAAAAACCGGCGCAAGACGAAAGTTTTTCGTTTTTGTGGTCTAGAAAATTGTTTCGAGCCGCCGACGTTTTAATTAAGAACGTAAAACTGCGGTGTTTTTTCAGTTCCCCGGCACATTGAAAAGAAAAAAAACAAATACTCACAGATGGTTTTTACGTCGAAAGTTTAATGCTTTGAGTAATGTTTTTAATTTGCGCGATTATCTAAATACTTTCTTTTTACAATAATAATAATAATAATAATAATAATAATAAAAAAACAAATTATCCAAGTAGGTACATTAAAGTTACTCCTATTCTAGCAATTTATGTGTTCTTAAAATGTATCACTATTTAAAGCTATAAACATTTTTTTGGAGTGTTTTCGGTTGATTGTTTTTTTTTTATCTATGTTATTACTGTAGATAATATTATAGTACAATATCATTGTCATTTTTGTATCATATAACATATTATTGTGACATAGGACAATCGGGGTTTTAATAGTGTCACAATTTTAATGAAATTGATGTGCACCAAAGTGTCCACGCCCATTAAAGCTGTCACACTAATTTACCGTTCAAATTTAGAGTTTCATAAATTCTTGTTTAACGTATACTTATGTAATTACTTGTGTTTAACGAGTATTTCCTAAGTCTTAACTCGTTTATGAAATAACTCTTTTCCTACTCTTGTAGACAGTTTGTGGCAATAGAGCATGAGATAAGTCAGGGCTCCATATGCTTGACGCTAGTGTGATTTATGTAAAAATTAAAAAACTAAACGCATACTTGGCTTAAAATAAATACAAACTTATTAAATGCGGTATAGCTATCAATTGTGAAACATAATTAAATTCTATTCAAATTATTTATTTAGTGTCGATTTTCGTTTTCTTTTTTAACTTATGAATGAATCGAAGTAAATAACTATCTACTTGTACAAGTACAATGTGGGTTTCAATTCATTCAATAGAAACTATGATAGCTTTTAAATTTTAATTGTGAATCATAATTAAATTCTATACGAATTATTTATTTACTGTCGATTTTTGTTTTCTTTTATTAACTTATGAATGATTCGAAATAAATAACTACCTATTTGTACAAGTACAATGCGGCTTTCAATAGAAATTCAAAACAAACATTGTTTTGAATACTCGCACGAATAATTAATAAATAACATGTTATTGTGATTACGGTTTTAAGTACAACTAATATGTTCGTATATTTTTTAAAGAATATTCCTTATACTTGATTCTGTCAAATGTATATTTAAACGTTTGTACTCTTATAGGAATGTAAGCCACGTTGTAAAAAAAAAACTTTTTGAATCTTAAGAATTGCATATGTGTCCCTAACTATATAAGATACTTGGAATCATAACTGGGTAAAATTTCAGAAATACTATTTTAGTTATTACACTATATTATCTAATAATAACAGAGAAAATAGTTTTAAAATCAATAGATTATACTATTATATTATGTTGCTTTGTTCCATTTAGAAATTTAATTTTAACTCTGTTACAATAAATAAGTTTAAATTAAACACTGTTTTGTATTTTTGTGATAGTGTTAAAGAAAGACGGAATTCACATCAAGTAGTTAGCTTAGAAATGCAATAGTTATTTTAGTATTTATTTTACATTCTGTGCATTACTTTCTAATTTAGAAACTTAAAAAAATAAAACGATATTTGTTAACAAATGTTTGTACTATTTGAATCACAAAAAATTTCGTTTTTCCAGACTAAGTGATGTGAAAATCTATACATTTTCATGGTTAAGTTAATTGGTAATTTGTATACCTAAAAATTATTTTTTTTTTCAATTCTACGCATATTATTACAATTTCGAGCAGGTGTAACATTTCTCCGTACTCGTTTATACTTAAATTAATATTTATTATTTGTTTGTGAAATTCACAAATTTGTAACTCATTTATTTATTATTTTCGTTGTTTAGTGTTTTTCAGGCGGAGAAGTTTTTTTTTGTTTTTTAATGATGTTTTATGGTATCACGTGGATATGGTATTTTGTAGTTGAACGTTTTTCACACACTTCTTAAAGCGTTTTTGATAAACTAAATTATTAAGTAAAGTCTTGTTGTTTTGATGGAATAAAAATCATGAACCACGATGTACGATCCCCAGTGGCGTGTATCATAAAAAAAAAATTGGTGTTGCTCAAATCATTTTTGGTGACCTACCCCTCATAATACTTGTTATACAGACCTATAAAATTTCCTATTTTTCTTACCCACCCCCCTATATTGAAGGTGTTGCCTGAGCAACGCTTGGACCCTATGTCACACGCCACTGAATTGATCCACAATAACTGCCTTGGCACAGACCGGTTTTATGGAATAATATTAAAATCAACAAACAAAACATATTTTGTCAATAAGTAATTTTCAAAAACACCGGACTCGTCGGACTATGAAATCAGAACGGGAGACTTAACTGTTTTATAATAATGGCACTCTATGAGCACTACACGACGACGACGTGGGTACATCAATTGTTGTTGACGCAATATTATTATGTTTTGATCGTTGAAATCGCCGGGGGTCATCTAAATCCATAAAATTCAAGTTTCATACGTCATATACACACTGGTCTGGTGACCGGGGTATTGTATTCGTTTACATGGTCAAAATTCGGAACTGTACGAATTATTATGATCAAGTACTCGTATATATTATAGTGCGCATAAACCACAATGCTTGTGGTTATTATAATTTATATTATTTGGAACGCGCATAGGTACGCGAGTGGGGATGGCAATCTATATATTTTTGATGAAATTCGAGAACACACCTCCGGTGATAATAATAATTATTATATCGTCGCAAAACCATTTATCGGCCATTGTATTGCCGAATTCCATTATGTTTATAATAATAATATTATTATTATCTGGCCGACCACGCGACGGCACGGTGTAATATATAACTACGCTTCCCAGCAAAACGATATAATATTCAATCACCGTTTACACTTTACGATGTGAAGGACCATAATCGAAACGAATTCATCGATGCAAGGCCGTATCCAGAAATTTTTTCGGGGGGTGTCCAAAACATGTATATTGTAATTTGTAATTTTATTGAATTTAGGTTTTGATATTTGGTTAAAAATAAGATATTGAAAACATTTAGATAGGCCTTTCATCGATGGTTTGTAGTCGTGGTTAACACACATAATATGGTTTGTATACCGTTGTCGTGTGCAGCATGAATAGTTACAATTTCTGTACAAGGTTTGAGTTCAAATATTTTACTCCTTGAACCACATTTTTTCAAATTATAAGGCGAGCAACTTGTTAATTGCTTAATTCACAACGTTATAATAATAATTTGCAGTATTGGTTGGCATACAAATTATAAAATGTTTAGTATGAAAAGGTTTTACAACATTATATTCTTTTCATTCTAAAATAGAAAAAAATATATTTAATCAGAACTTTTTCATTATTATTATTTTTAACTGAAGCCTTTCAGAATAATGCTTTATCATTGCTACCGCAATCTTCTAACAGGAAATAATGTAATAATTATGAAACATCGAAATCTGTATCTCGATCTTAAAATTCTGTTGAATATGGATAAACGTGATAATTATTAGGTATACTATTGGCAGTGATTAATTTAATTAAAACCTTTTCATACTAACTTATTGTTAATAATTTGGTTCCATTAATTGAGCGTTTTCAATTTGATTAAATAATTTGATTTGATTCAATAACTTAATTTTTGGCGATTTAGAACCTTTCACTTTTAAAAAATATCGTCAATAATGATCGTATAATCATAGATGTTCGCTTAAAAGAGTCTCCTTTGCATTCTAAAATCATTTTAAAATAAAAAGTAACTTTTGAAAAAAATGCTATTTAGAACCTCTTAATTCTTGATACCCACGAATTTATAATTATTTTCATTTTCGTTCTCGAAAACGGAACCACGGCCTTGGAGTTAACGGAGGAATCGGTATTCGTTTAGTATGTGACCTACAGAGTGAAAATCATCGAGTTTAGTATGTGACCTACCAAGACGATTATCTATATTATGTACGGGTACTGATCTATTAACAGGTAAGATGAATTTTTGAAATTTAAGTAAAATACATAAAGTGTATTTCTAAAAATATAATTTAAATAAAATAAAACTTTTTTATAACAACATAATTTTATGAAATCTATTGAACAGTTTTGACATACCTATTGCTGTTATAGGTACCTATGTGTCTTCATTCATTTTGTTTAACTCATTTTGACATTGTTAAATGTAATCCTGTATTATTTTATATTTGTATATTGTATTACTAATATATTAGTTAAATAATTATTAACATAATTTTATGATTTTTAATTTAACTGTTTTTAAATTAATTAATGGTCCTGTGGATCATAATACTAAATGAATACCCAATACGGTAGGTCACGCGGTCTGGTAGGTCACATACTAAACGAATACCGAGGAATCGAGACTCATATAAAACGCCATGAGATGAGTTTTCACGAGACGAGTTTCCTTCTCTGGGCTGGAGCACAAGCCGTTTTTTCCACGTCTCCCTTTGACTTTTTCTCGGTACAAAACATTATAATAGTCATTATTTGACGTTCATTTTGTACTCGGGGCCCTTAATTAATTCGTAACTAAAACAATGGGTTTGGCTATACCTTAATTTCATATTTTTCGTATACGGACGCAATGTAAATTCACGCATGGCGCTTGTTTGTTCACTGTTGGTAGGTATATATTAATATTATTATAATGTACCTACTTGTTTTTTCTTTCTCTCTTTTTTTTTTTTGTACTCGTCTACATGGCATTTGTACCCACATCGCATACGGGTGTACAACATAATATAATGGAAGGATAACCACTCGGTATTCATAATAATATTATTATTATATATAATACTGCAGCCTTAACTATATTGTTATATGTTTTCCCTTGATGTGGTTAAAATATTGTACTTTGGATGATTAATTTCTGAAGATAAAAATTATCAAAGCAAAATTTATTATTATGTACCGAGGTAGAAAAAAAAAAATAACCGCTGAAACACTAGAAACGAAGTATTAAGAAGTTTCCGTAATTATTTCGAAACTTTCTATACGCACCTACATATATTAATATTATATCTCCTGAAATGAAAGCATATTTTTCATGTGATTCTTTTTAAAAAAATAAATCGAGGAAAAACAATTATAATGAGCGCAGGTTTTACCCTACTCGGAAATATTCATTTGTTCAAGAGATTTTTATGAGAGGGTCAGAATTTTTAGGATATCTAAAATCCTTACTTCATTTTAATTATTACAACAAACAAAATAATTAAAAATTAAGTAATTTGTTCTAATTACTTTGGTATTTTATTTTTCTCTTATTACTACGCTAAATGTACAGTTAAAAAAAGAAAACATGTCAAATATTATTACTATTTTAAATTTATTATAATTTATAAAACAATTTATGTAATATGTATTCACTTTTTTATAATTCACCTCTTACGACCTTTATAGATAATATAAATATAAGAAGAGGGAGTTATTTCTTAAACTTTTCATAATACATTTTACATACTTTATATTCTATTTTGTAACTTGAAATTCCAATGTATGTTTTTAGTTGTAATAATTCTTAATAATATTTTCTTAATTAAATACATTTTTAACATACATTTAGTAGATACAAAACATTTAGGTATTCGGTTAATTTTTTTAAATTTATGACTGTAAAAGTATAATTATTACATAATATAAATTTTTTAATGTAAAATACCAGTCGATTCTTAAATATTTTATATTGGTGTTAAAGTTTTTGCAATATTTATTTTGATTACATTTGATACACTGACAATATTAGTTTACCTATTATTCTTTTAAAATAATATTTCTACTATTACAAATATTACAAGTAATGTATAGTTAAAATATCAAAGTATTTCAATATTCAAAGTAGATGGTGATTTATAAATTATTATATTATACGATTATATTATGAAAAATATAATTTTATTTGCTTGTTTTTAAATGATATTGACGTACAATTTCGTCCCCAAAAATATGTTTTGGAATAGTCTATTTATGTGTTTTAAGTTTTACGCTAAAAATTAGTACAATAAATACTTCTTAAGTTAAAAAATAGTTCCGAAATATTTATTAATCTTTTGCAATATATTTATTATTTAGTATAATATACAATATACATGGTGATACAACATAGAAATGGGTAAAATCAACTAAAATACCATTTTTTTAAATTTTAATTTAAATAAAACAACAGTAATAATAATTTATTAGAATAAATTAAATTACTATACTTTATTATATTATAGTCAGAAGAATAAATTTATTCATATTATCTAATTAATTATATAGAATAACAATTTAGTACATTATTATTTATTGCCAATCAACTAAATGTCACCAGCGTCAAAGTTGTTAGTGGTAGAAGGAAATGAAAGATCAGAATCAAAATGGTTTCGATATATTTCGAATATTATGAACATTTGATGCATCTTTCCTTCGTAGGTATTCTTAGACAATATCGACCATTTAGATTAATCATAAAATAACATATTATTGTCTTTTGTTAAAAAATGCGTGAGTTACTATAATGTCGTGAATATTATATTATTTTCTGTTTCAAAAATTGGCTCAACTGAAACAATATAAGGTAATTTTCTCACAATCCGAAATTCAGGAAGTCTAATAAATATGCCACTTGAACTCTGCCTTAAGCGATAGGCGCATAATAAAAAATCCGTTGTACCAATTATAACGAATTATGTATAAAAGAACAAGGTGTTATAATTAAATGATGAATTTTTTCAATTTATCAGATATACCTACATGCATACCTATTAATTTTGTCAAAAAAACATTTATTTATTTTTCATATTTTTTTTGCAGTCGTTTACCGAGTAAATAATATATTATTTTCTAACCGAATGACGTTATTTCTAGTACAAATAATTTATTCAAAGTTATGAATTTTAGACACGTTATTCAGTTATGTTATTACGACAACCGTCGTGCATTAAATTCAATTCTTGCCGCACGACACCCCGGCATTTTCATTCACGAACCCAATTTAAAAGGTAAAAGTTTTCAAGAAGTTTTTCATTTTATTTTGAGAAACACACTATATATATATAAATAAAAATGTATATAAACATGCATAAATAAGGAATAGATTTTAAAATGTGCACACACAACACGGTGAAACTTTAATGGGAAAACCGAAAACTGTGATGTGAAATTGGCAGTAGTCACCGGGTACAATGGGTACATAAATTCATTTTTTTTTATGGTTTTATATACCGATTGTACGACTCATAGAATTTCGTAATAAAGAGCACATTATAATATCATATAACCTAATACCACTCGTGTTTTATTCTGAGATATATGTGTAGGTACCTAAGCTGTTTTCTTTGTCAGTTTTCGCTCACCGCATGTTACGTAGTTACTTGTACGAAATATATCATTTTTTTTTTCATTCGAATTTTTCAACTCTATAGAAATTATTACGCGATTAGGAATTCTCAATCAAAGTTTGAAATTATATTTTATTCACGACCTTAATCGTTTTTCGTCAACCGATTGTCTCGTTTTCTCACGATCCGGCTGTAGAATTATTAAACATTTTATTTTATAGGGCTTATTGAAATTAACATTCCGATTTTAGTATACATTTAAAAACAAATTACCTGCTTGTCCGTATTGAATATTCGGCTTTTGTTTATTTTTTATCCCGAACTTTTATTAAACTGCCAAACGACCGATACGAGAATACATTATAAGACATAATACACAGGTTCATATTATAATAATATGTATGCGTTTATTAATATAATTAAAAAAAAAACAACCCAAAA